TCTTCTCCATGTCCTCTGGCGCCATTTTGATCTGATTGTATCCAGAGAAACCATCCATGAAGGAGAATACCTTATGTTGTATGGTGTTATCAACCAGAACATCGATATGGGGAAGCGAAAAGTCATCCTTGGGGCTTGCCCTGTTCAGGTCTCTATAATCCACACACATACGTACCTTACCATCCTTCTTAGGTACTGGAACAACATTAGAGACCCATTGTGGATAGGATGTGACAACTAAGAAATCAGCATTGAACTGTTTCATGATGTCAGCCTTGATCTCTCACATATCCAGCCGCATACGACGGACATTTTGTTTCACTGGAGGGAAATCCTCTTTTGTCGGTAGGCAATGAACCATAATATCGGTGTCAAGTCCTGGAATGTCTTTGTATGACCAGGAAAAAACCTCAACATAGTCATGTAGCATCTGCATTAACCACTGTTTGACACTGGGATCCAAGTTAGCCCCTACCTTGACTTCTTTTCTGTCCTCTTCAGTACCCAAGTTCATTGTCTCAACTGGCTCCTCATGAGGTTGTATTGCCCTTTCTTCCTGTTGTAACAGTCTGGAAAGCTCTCCTGGTACCTCATAATCTTCCTCACCTTCGTCCTCGGCTTGGTTGATCGTATTTTCAAAGTCATAATGAGAAATAGCAGAACCATTATCAATGGATCCAGATTGGATGTGGATCTGCAGTTTGATATGTGAGTGTGTGTAAGAGCATAGCTGTATATTTTGATAAAGTAAAGAGGCAGAAAAGAAAAACAAAGAGCGTAAAATGTGTATGTGAAACGTCCAATATTTTATTGATGACATATGAAAATGAAATAATGACCCTCACAAATAGACCATTGTGCCTCGGGTAAGACATAAGGCTTTAATGTTTCAATTGTTCAAATATTACATTTCCTTAAAACAAAAAGACAAATTACTCTTGAATAAAAGTAATGGGCACAAAGTTTTTAGCCTCCCAATTGCTGATTCCACCGCTGATGGTTGGGAAGATCCACTTGTCCAGGTCATAATCACTATCACTGTCTTCCAGAGCATTGGCTCCATAGTTGTTGATCCGTAAAGGTGGTCCCCCGGTGCGAGCACGACGGACAGCTCTCTGGGCTCCTGAAGTAAAACCCAAACTAAATTTGTCAAATTTGTAGGGAATATATGGAAGTTGGCTCCAAATTGTACACCAACCTTCTTCAATTAATGCCTAGGAATATTTCAGAGAAGCCATCTTCAGCGGAGTCCTAGTAGTCTTAAGAACACTGGCAGTGGTCTTGGTTGCAGTAAGGGTTTGTGGAATCTCCTCAATGTTCTGACAGGGAGTCTCAATAAACTCGCCGTCCATTTCGACATACCTGAAAGAGTTTGGGTGGCTCACCATGTACTCCTCCTCCCCATGGACTGTGATAATTTTCCCAATGACTGGGTACTTCAGCATTTGATGTAGGGTGGAAGTCACAACACCATCCCCATGGATCCAGGGTCGACCCAATAAACAGGAGTAAGACGGGCGGATGCCCATCACATAGAAAGCGGAATTAAAATTTTGAGTACCAAATTTGATAGGGATGTCCACTTCCCCGTGCACCATTCTTTTAGAACCATCGAAGGCCCTCACCATAATGTTATTAGGCTTTAGTGTGAGTCCTTCACAATCTAACCTGTCCAGATCATTCTTGGGAAAAACGTTCAGTGATGAACCTATATCCACCAGAACATGGGCTAATGTAGTGCCCCTGCACTCAATGGAAACATGTAGGGCATCATTGTGTTTCCTTCTCTTGGGAGTTAGGTCTGCATCAGAGAATTTCAGGCCATTGTCAGCTGTCAAACTAGCCACACAATTCTCGAATTGATCAGCGGAGGTCTCTTGAGGCACGTGGGCAAACTTCTGGAATTTTACTAAAGCCTTGGCATCGGCTACAGAGCACAACAGTAAGGCCAACATTTAGATTTTTGAAGGGGTCTGCCCCAATTTCTATACGACATTGTAATCAATTTTCTTGATTATCTTCAATATCTCTTACATCTCGTTTTTAGAAGCCTCAGGAATGGCTTCTGGATGTTCTTTCTTCCGGAAAGGCTCAACCAATACCCCTTTGCCCCGAGTCTTGGCCGACTCGGTAACATGGATAACAGTAGGACTAACAACAGGATTAGCCATGGGAATACTGACAAGAGCAGAAGCGAGAATAATCACCAGAGTAGTAATGAGAGTATTAACAGGAGCAATAGCAGGGATGATCACGAGAGTAGCAACAATTTTTGGAGAGATCTCGAGAGAGAAAACTCTTCTGCTTCTTGTTATCTTACTTGTCCCGACGATATTTGTGACATCAGGCTCAGTACTTTCAGCAACTTTGTCTTTAATAGCCAACAGGTCTTGCTTGACGCCATGGTAATAGACGTCAGCCCCATAATTCCAGGGAACAATTTTATCCGAGGAATATGGTATAGGTCCAGGGAAAGTAATTATCAACGGAGCAACTTTTGGAACAAATGTAATCCTGACAGGTCTTTTGGAGGAGACCTTGCAAGGATTGGCGAAAATGGTAATGATAGAAACATTTTGACACAGAGCACTTGTAACTGGAGTTTTCTCAAACAGAATTTCTTTATCATCCATCAGGCGCTAAACACCTTCCTTTAAAAAATGGCAACCATTAGGTAGAGACAAACATATGTGGCAACCTTCACCACAACCAGGAAATAAATCGGCTTGCAAGAGATTCCTTTTAATAGTCAGGAGTGGAGTAGCTAGTTCATCAACAGAAGCAACAAACATGTCATCATCAATAACATTAACACCACAGTCGTGCTTAGGCATAGGGGCAGTTATAACATTAGGGGTCTCAAGAGCGTCAAATTCAATCTCCTTTGATTAAATCAAATCCTGCACCTTGTTCTTCAAAGCCCAACAGTTGTTTGTATCATGGCCTGGACTTTCAGAATGGTAAGCACACTGAGCATTTGAATTGTAGTGAGGAGATGTATTGTTGGGATTTTTGGGAGCCTCTTTCAGGGTAACCAGATTGGATTTCAACAAATGTGGCAAAACTTGAGACAAAGTCATATTAATCCGGGTAAATTGTCTTCTAGGCTTATCTGTTCTGGAATGATTATTTTGTTGCTGGCTTGATGCAGGGTTGGAAATCATAACAGCCCCTACCGTAGGACGATGCTCAGTTTTGCTAAGATTTCTTTGGGCATAAGCAGCACTGACCACCTTCTTCCATGTAAATGGTTTCTTCGTAGTACTGGAGGATGCATCTCTTTGTATCTTACCACTTTTAATTCCAGCCCTACTCGTTCACCCTCAAGATCAATTCAGTAAACCCAGCAGAAGAACTTCCAATCAGGTGGTTAAAGAATGGCCCGGATAATGTTCCCAAGAACATGTCCACCAGCTCCCTATTAGACAATGGAGGTTGGACTCTTCCTGCAAGGTCTCTCCATTTCTGCACATAATCTTTAAAGCCCTCACTAGAACCCATAGACATGCTCTAAAGTTGTGCACGAGTTAGATAAAGATCAACATTATATTGGTACTTCTTGTAGAAAGCAATAGCCAGGTCTTCCCAATTACGGATGTTGGTTCCCTCCAAATGATAGAACCACTCTAATTGAGTCCCTGATAGACTGTCTTGAAAGAAATGCACCCATAAGTTCCTATCAGCAGTGTGGGGATGGATCTTTCTGACATAAGATCTGAGATGCAGCTTAGGACATGAGACCCCATCATATTTAGCAAATGCGGGAACTTTGAACTTTTGTGGGATAACCACTCCAGAAACCAATCCTAGCTCTTCGAAATCCAGGCTAGGTACCCTCTGAACTTCCATGGTATTGAGACGGTCCTCCAGCTGTTTGTACTTATCATCAATAGAAGGGTATTGTTCCTCAGTGTAATCAGTTTCATCCTCTTCAGACTCCCTTGTACTGTGGTCTTCTTCTCTTGGATCTCCTTCCTGATTGTCTCTCTCTTTTGACGGAGTTGCGAGCTCTGAAACTTGCCTCACTGGTCCTTTGAACCTTCTTCACATATTCAGAACACCCACTGGCCCTCTTTTTCTTCTTCTTGTCCTTGAGAATCAGTGCTTTCAAATCTTTTTATCCCTTAGCAAAATTCAGTAACATTTCTTGGAATTGAGCATTTTGTGCCTGAAGTTACTTAACTGTTTGTTCAAGAGCCATTGCTGAAATAAACAACGAAGTAGATAAGAAGCGTATCCTGAAACCTGTTTATAAAATGATATGTATGATATATGTATGCAATGTTTTCAAGGATTTCTAATACTTAAATTTGCTTAGCCAAAGGGAAAACAAACATTAATTGCATTAAGAAGTTTAAGCGGTTATAATGATGCCTCTCGGGCTTACAAAGGAAGTAACAAAGCAAAAATGAACTCTCAACGCAAAAAAAAAAAAGACTCAAGCTTCCCACGGGCGCATCCTCTTTGGTGCAATGTATGCATTTATACTCTTCTCTTCGTGGAGTAGCCTGGTAAGCTCTAAAACTTTCTTCTCGCTGTCATAGAATTGGGTTTCAAAGGTATCCCATTCCTCTTTGAGTTGAATCCAGGATTTTTGTAACTCCTCAAAATTAGTCGGCATGTCAGGATGAAGAAAAATGTAAGGATTGTATCCCTCAGCAACTGGCTCTATGATGATGGGTAGAATGGCCTCATAAGGAATCCTGAGAATTTGAGCACGGCCTCGTACCCACTTAAGATAAGGCTCCAAAGGAATGGAGTTCTTATGCCCCAGTGTTTTGCTATCGACTTTGTTCACCATTTCCCAATCTCTTATGAACCTCTGACGATAACCCTGAGCATTATTCTCATAGTCGAATACGATTCCTTGGACAAGTGTATAATGAAGACCATCCCTTCTAGCATAACCAAACTGTCGCAACGCAAAATAAGGATTATAAGTGATTCCTCCCTTAATTCCTAGGAGAGGGACATTAGGGAATTCCCCACAGCGGTCAATAATGGTAACATTCTCCAAGGATCAAGAACACCAATGAATATCCGAATGTGTGAGGGAAATCAACCTATTAGACCATCTCAAGCCCTTCTCATTCTTCAACACAGATCGAGGTAGGTGTGAAATAAACCACCTAGCTAACAGAGGAGTGCAACACAGAAGGGTCCCTCTTCTATTTACAGTGCGGGTATGTAGAGAGTGTAGGATGTCTCCAAGTAAAGTAGGCACCAGATTATGAGACAGAAAAACCTTGAACGCATTCACATCTATGAGTTAGTCCGGATTAGGAAATAGTACCATCCCATAGATGAGAAGGGCCAACACTTCTTCAAAAGCTTGTAAATCCAGGGTATCTCAAAAATAGTGAGCCTTCTCAAATAGAAACTTAGCTAGGAACCCTTTGACGCCTCTTCTTGTTTCCCAATTTGCAACTACATCAGACCATTGTAAAGACAGAGCATGAGAAATCTCTTCCAGTTTTGGGTCCTTTTCCATACCATTGAAGGGTATCTGATCAAGAATGGTCACCCCCAATAACTGAGAAAACTCCTTCATGGTAGGCACCAATTGGTAATCAGGAAACGTGAAGCAGTGATGTAAAGGGTCGGAGAATTGAAAGAGCACCTTCAACATTTCTTCATTAGGGCTTAAGGTGACCAGGTTAAGAAGTCGACCATGTCTTTCAGTGAATGCAGAGCTCTCGGGAACCCTTGATGCTAATTCCTTGAGTTAAGGAGGTACCCTTATGAGGTTGACTTAGATAGTATTCTTGCGAGTGGATGCCATGTCCTACAAAACAACACAAAGATAAGTACTAAAAATCCTTGAACTGGTTCGTATGATATGCTATGTTATGATGTTATGATATCATGATTACACAAATATAGCAAGCACAAGAAAATCACACAAAGACCTTAGGTTTAAGGCTTGCATGGGTTTTCAGGTAAGTACCCTCTTGAAGTTTAGTTGGTTCAACCTGTCCTAGAAAGTAATCGGGTTCTAACGGATTTTAATATCACTGATCTTTCCCACAAGTTTCGTTTCGGTCGACATATGAGTTGCCACCAAATAATACTCGGGAGTCAAATCTCAATGAGTGTAGTATCGAGTATCAACTGACTTTGGGCTACACCAAAGATGGCTATCTCACTACTTTCTAATGGCCAAGTTGTTCAATTAAAGGTTCTAAGTTCAATTGATGCTTCATGACACCACGCAGCGGCCCCGTATTCTCCTTGACTACTCAAGGGCTACCAGTACCGACCAAAGTGTCACATCAACGTAGCTATCTCTTTAACTGTGTCGGTATACCCCGCACAGTTTCCACGATCTATTGCTACTTACCTAAAAGGTGCCCCAGATCCGGGTGTAGGATCTATAGTAACCCAAACAATGCCCTCAAAAGTAAAGCAAACAAAGCATACAAGGTAAAACAATTTACAATGAACTAGACTCTAAGATAACCCCACTTTTTATTATCCCCAGTAGAGTCGCCAGTTCTGTGATACGGTGGCAGAACCGACTGTTAATACTGGGTTTGCATTTTGTGTTCACAAATGTTGTGGTAAGAAAGAGTCACCACCGAATTTTCTTTTATCCAAATTAAGGAAAGGGTGAAAAGAACATAAAAAGACCTTTTCGAGATTTTTCTGAGTAAGGGGGGTAGATTATGGAATAGGAAGGTGTTAGCACCCTTTCCATTCGTAGTTTTCTACGGGCTCTTAGATGCTAGCTCATGTTTTGAAACTTGCTTGTGCTTTGTGTTTTTAAAAAGTAGTTTTAAAATGCCTTAGTGCAGTGATTCGCTTTGTGATAACTCTTGTATCAGTCCTCAAGAGTGTTGACAAAGAAAATGTTTTTGAAAGTTTTTTTTTAAAAGTGTATGTGTAAAAAGAGTTTTTTTTGAGCAAGCATTTAACAACTATCTACTTGTACTCGAAAAGGTAGTTATTTTCCTCCTATCCTTTAGACAGTGCTATCACTACGCCAAAAATGATTTTTTGTATCACCTAATTTAATAGCACTTTTAAAAAAAATGCTATTAAAATAGAAAAAACACATTTATAATAGCACTTTTTAATCGGGCGCTATTATATAATACAGACTATGTAATTTTGATAGCACTTTGTACCAGAACGCTATTATTAAACTTCTTTAAGATAGCATTTTGTATAAAACGCTATTATTTGACTACCTATATAATAGCATTTATTAAAAAGCGCTATGTTATATATAATAATGAATTAATTAATTAATTGATAAAAAAAAAAAACAAAACACATTTTCAGAAAATTGGATTTCCCATCAATTTTCCCCTTTCGATTTTCCCGGCCACACCACCGCCGTCATCGTCGCTTCATCCACCGACGACAGCGGCATCCCGTCTCAAGATCTCGCAGTTCTCCTCGAAGTCGACGGGTGAATTTTCGCTTTTCTTCGTTATTAACAATCTCGTTTCAGTTTCACTCTGCTCAATGGGTTGTATTGCAGTACAATTTTGAAGGAAGATATGATCTAGTTAGGTTCATTAAGACAGTGCAAAAAGTGGGGCTCTATGTTAATCTTCGCATTGGACCTTATGTTTGCGCCGAGTGGAACTTTGGGTACATGCATGTTGCTAATTCCATTTTAATTTCTTTTTTTTTTTATGTAAGATTATAATTGCAATAACGTTTTTGTTCTTTGATGGTATAGGGGAATTCCTGTTTGGTTGAAGTATGTTCCGGGTATAAGCTTTAGAACCGATAATGAGCCTTTCAAGGTTGAGCTTTCTTTGATTTCATTTCATGACCTGGTTTGGTTTATCCGTGTTAACTCGAGTCTTGAATGATTTGGTTGATATAAATTTTTTTTTCGGTTTTAGGCTGCAATGCAAGGTTTTACTCAGAAGATTGTTCAAATGATGAAGAGTGAAAACTTGTTTCAGTCTCAGGGTGGTCCAATCATTCTTTCTCAGGTATGATGTTCTTGTTGAATGTGTGGATATTTTGAAGAAAATGCATTCGATATCAGAATTTTGATGTCAAAAAGTCATTTCTTTCTAGATTGAGAACGAATACGGACCAGAGAGCAAGGCGATGGGAGCTGCTGGTCATGCATACCTAAACTGGGCTGCATATATGGCTGTTGGATTGGGAACAGGAGTCCCTTGGGTGATGTGCAAAGAAATTGATGCCCCAGATCCTGTGGTGAGCCCTCACAAGCTCTATCTTTAGGTTCACCATTCATTATAGACTTATCGAGTGTTGAATATGATCCACCCGATTCTCCGCTACAGATTAATTCGTGTAATGGCTTTTACTGTGACGATTTCTCTCCAAATAAACCATATAAGCCTAGCATGTGGACCGAGTCTTGGAGTGGCTGGTAAGATATACATTGTTCTATGACTATAGATGTTAGATACATTTGTCTACTTTTCACCCTCTTATTCTGCTGATCTCTTTCTTTCCGATCCTGTAATCGTAAGGTTTACCGAATTTGGTGGCCCGATTCACCAGCGACCAGTTCAAGATCTGGCATTTGCAGTTGCTCGTTTCATTCAGAAGGGCGGATCATATGTGAATTACTACATGGTTGGTCACCTATGAATTATTTATCATATTTCAAAAAATAACTTTACCTATTTCGATAAGGTTCTGTTCTTATTATTTGTTGCAACAAAACATGTGGTGCCTTGCTTTGAAGTCAAATTTTCACTTTTGTGATTATTGATTATTGATAGTATCATGGAGGAACTAATTTCGGACGTTCCGCTGGGGGTCCGTTCATTACTACAAGCTATGATTACGATGCTCCAATCGATGAATATGGTAAGAAAATTATGCTTGTTTGTTATGACCAGATTCTTTGATTATTTTGTTGTTCTACATGATTCACCAATCATTTGAATGGATTATGAAGTAATGTATCATAATTGGAATATTTCAGCACTTCCTTATCTTGCATACATGAATGATTTAGGTTTGATTAGGCAACCGAAATATAGCCATTTGAAGGATCTTCATAAAGTGATCAAGCGATGCGAGCATGCTTTGGTTTCTTCGGTCCCTACTGTTACATCGTTAGGAACATACCAGCAGGTAAATTGTCACATATATGAAGAAACTAACCCCTCTTCTAGTTATGTGTTGGTTTATGATAAACTAATCTTGTGGTGACAATCACGCTATTCTCTCTATGTGCTTGGTGATTTTCCAGGCTCATGTATTCTCTGCAGGAACTGCAGGATGTGCAGCTTTTCTCGCAAACTATCATGTACAATCTGCTGCTACCGTAGTTTTCAATAATAAGCACTATGACTTGCCTCCATGGTCCATAAGCATCCTTCCCGATTGCAAAACTTCCGTATTTAATACCGCAAAAGTAAGAATATCTTGCAGGACCTATTATGGCTTGTCCTTTTCATCAATCAAGTCTCTAACATCACAGCAACTAGTACGCATTCATCAGTTGTTTCGTCAAGCCAAATTTGATGATCCCAGTGGTCATGTAAGTTATGAAGTCTATTATAAACCCTTTTCTTTACATTCATCACACATTGTTCCATAATTAACTTTTTCATTATGTTACTCACGTCATTGCTTATGTCCTTACTGTCTATTATCAGTGTCTTAGCCCTGCTGGCGAATACAATCTTCGATTAGGAATTATAAAAGAACTTCACCCAGACATGGTTGCAACATATTCTGGCAGGTTGTGATTCAATATCAAAGTTTTGCTAGTTCTTACTCTTACCTCAAGTTATTGCTTCTTGTAACCATTCTTTTTAATCCTTCTCGCTGTGGACCGTCACAGGCATTTAGCTTACTGTCTATAATTCTATCTGATCTTTCTGACCGTGTTATAAAAGTTCTGAAGGGTTTATGGATGCCCTATAGTAGAGGCCCATTAGAGATGTTTTTAATGTTAGCTACCTGCTTGGCTTTTCTGGTAATAGATAATTCAGTATGCTTAAAAGTTATTTTCCTGTGACTACTACACAGTGCTCAAGTTTTTGAAGGCCACCCTTTCATTGTGGAAGCAGGAATCAGTATAGGTGGAAAAGATGTCAAACAAGTTAAGTTTCACTTCCAGCAATATTTATTGTTAGATAGCAGTTAAGTTTGAAATTCATGCGTGCTAAAAATATCTTTTCTGAAAGAAATAGTTGATGTCAATTACTATGGTCTTGTCAAAGTAGCATACTGAACAGCCTCCTCAATAAAACCTGCATAATTGAGTGTCAATTACTATTGATGAACGGCCTCCACAATAAATCTTGCAATTATGGACTGTAGGAAAAGAAATGTCCTTGAGGTTCGAAGGCATGTTTAGTACCATACTTAGCTTGCACTTACCGACTGAAGGAAAAGATATGTCTTTGACTTTTGCCATCTTTGCCCTGTTTAGCAGATCCCTTGTGTATTCTGATTGAGTAAGTAGAAAAGCACCATGACGAAGCTGTTTGAACTTTGACATCAACTCCCAAAAAGTGATAAAAAGATCCTAGGTGTTTAAGTACAAATTATTAACTAAACTTGTTGATCAAATCATTAACAAGGGGAAACTATAATAATAGTGTAATCCATGTAGATAAAAACAGAGAGGCAAGTGGTTGCCTTAAAGAAAATGAATAAATAGGGATCACATCACAATGATAGAATTGAACTCAAACTGTCACAAGGTAGATATGATCCGTTCATACTCAACATTAGGTGTTTGTGTAAGGCCATAGAGAGCCTTGTTAAGTCTGCAAACCAGTAATTTATTGGGTGCTTCAGACTTGGGAAGTTACATTATGTAAACCTCTTCACGAGGGTTCCCCATTGGGAAAGTCATTATTAACATCAATATACTAAATGGTCCATCTACTGATGAGTGCCAAAGTTAGAGTTACCCGAGACGGATAAAGTCTGAGATTGAGTTGCTGATAAAATCCCTATGCAACCAGGGGAGCTTTTGCACTTGTATGGTAGCTGGATGTCTCTAGCTTACTTTTTTTGCAGTAGTTGAATGTCTCTAGCAAAGCTGGGATGTCCACTCCTCTTCTACATAACAGAGTATGCTGACCCAGTACATTTTATCAGTTCAGTTACCGTAGTTATGATTATGTTATGTTTAATGAGCTAGGTAGCTTTTCTTAGGTTGATATCTATATAAACCTGGATTGTACATACAAGCTATTATGAAATCGTTTTACTAATTAACCGAAAACCTGGATTAATCGTTTTACTAATCAGGTATTGTTTTACGCTTTTTTTCTTTACTTGAAGCATTATATTTTATTTAATACATGATCCGAAAAGCTTCCGGTATGTGATATGTCAAGGACAAGCCCTCCAAAAAGCTTGAGATGTTAGGTCACAATACACGATCGATTTTATATAACTAGCATATATGTTGCTTTGGGAATGTTTAGTTGCGAGTGATTTTTCTTTTGCTCTTATGTAATTCCTAAGATGGAAACCATAACAAATTGTTGTTCAGATATCTCCAGGTGTTTGGTTCATTGGTCTTTTCAATGGCATTGGACCTACAAGAACACAGTCGAAGATGGTAAGGTTTATTATGCAAATATTATATTTTACCCAAAATAATTCTGAAAATTACCCTAAGAGTAATAATATTTTCACTTCTGAAGATTATCCGAGGTCCAGCATACTCCTTTGCTGCCAATATAACTGTGGAAGCATGTACAAATTCAATGATGATGGGAGATTTCTGTAACAGTCCCGTTTATCCATTTTCATGCACAACATCTAATGTCAATAGTACTTTGAAAGCTACAACGGTGAACGAGACAATGCTGGAAAATTTGATGACCTGCAAAAGTAGTTTGAAAACTTTTTGTGCTGATGAAAGCGTATCATACATTTTCTCCTTTGATATAATAAATGTGGCAGACGAATTTACTATTATGGCAAGTGATGTCAAATTCAATGTCACGCCTTCAAACAAAACATCTGGTGCAAATGATATCAGTTTAATGTGCTTTGTTCGCCATGGTTCAATGCCTTCAGTTGCTTCGTTCGATTACTCCAGTGATTTAAGTAAAGTGCCGCTGGTTATTCATTCTCCATTAATCGGTCGTTAGTACATTACTATTGTACCGATCGATCCTATAAAGATACAAGATAGCAATGTAAGGGTTTGCTATTCAGTGGAATCTCATGTGCTTCAATGCCCACTTGGGAAGGCTGGTCCAAATTGTACAATGGATATTTACACGCTTCAGGTAGTATTCTTTGCAAGATATTTTCTGCCAAAATTTCCTTTTTGTGTTGTCACCTAAAGAACTTTCTTTATAATAACAATTAAGTTTATGCTAATCGGCTCTAAAATTTCTGAGTATCGGTAGAATGGTTATGCTAATCCTTGGACCACAATTAAGGTTAGGCTAATCCCTGTACTACAATACAACATTTGAGGTTACAAGAAGAATGGGTAGAATCAAGTTAATGTACCAAGTCCAAATGGTTCAACTAGAGAGGAATCAAGTGAGGAATTTCAGGGTTCTTGAAATGAAACACAATTCTCTAAATCCAGTTCATGAAATCACGTGAAAACTCATTATATTCTTGATGTGTAGAGTAGTAACAAAATGGCATGCAAGACAGATCATATATATTTTTATTCCCTAATCCAGTTTCTGAAATTTTGTGCAGGGCATATACGACAATCATTTTTTCTCGTTGTATCAAATGCTGCGGCCATACTTCCTGCCTATTGGGCCCTTCGGCAGAAGGTGGTTTTCTCTCTACTTGTTTGGTAACTCTTATCATCTCATTAGATAAACGTTTGTATGCAACCCATAGTTTACCTTTTTATGGTGGTGTTCTAATTTCATAACATCGTTTATTATGCAGGCATTAGCAGAATGGGTTTTGTTCACATCTAGTGGAATTGCTAGTGGACTATATCATGCTTGTGATGTAGGTGCTTGGTGTGCATTAAACTTTAACGTCTTACAGTTCATGGACTTCTGGCTCTCTTTCATGGCTGTGATTAGCACTTTTCTTTATCTAGCTACCATTGATGAAGTATTTAAGAGGGCAATCCACACAGCTGTTGCTATCCTTACTGCTCTAATGGCTGTAACAAATGCAACCAGGTAAATGAACTAATAGACCGAATATTCACACAGACGCACGCATATACAAAAACACCATAAAAATGTTAATAGTCTTTTTCATATTTGATTTTTAAATATGTAGGTCTTCCAATGTTGTTCTTGTGATGGTGATTGGTGCTCTTGGTCTCCTTATTGGATGGGTTATAGAGCTGTCAACAAAGTATAGGTCCCTTTCATTTTCAGTTAGATTCTCACTTGATTTCTCTCAGATGTAAGTTTGTTTCTAGTACGACATTATATTGGTTTACATGCAACATAATAGCAATCAATGGCACTGTATTGATAGCGGTTAACTCAAATTCTGCTATGCTATAGTGGCTATAGCGCTGCTATAGCACTATTAGACGGCGCTATAGCCACTATTAGACAATATTTTGTACTACATAGCGTAACAGGAAACAAAAGCGATTTGTTTAAATTCCACTGAATATAAATTATTCGTGATGAACCTTATCTGCAGTTTACAGGTGATAAAGCGATGGATATGTAATCTTATTGGAACACTTCTAAGACGGTATCACTGGCCTTTTGCATTAGCTGGTTTTTCTGCACTGTCACTGGAAATATTAAGCCGGACACTTGAAACCAGCGAAAATTACTGGTTTTGGCATAGGTATTAACAATATTACTATCATTATTTCCCTTCTTTTTGTTTATACATTCTCTATCTCTCATGTTGTCTTTCTTTTGAAATGTGTTTTTTTACAGCTTTTGGCATATTTCAATATACACATCTTCTTTCTTCTTCCTTTGTTCAAAAGCAAATATTCGTAGTAACAATTGTAAGGTGTTTGATATCTAGTTCTGGATCATGAAAAGAAAGTTACACACAATTAAGTGTTTATGTATATTTTGAGAATTTGAATTATATTCTGTTTAGTGTTTATATGCATCTAATAATGGAAATTGTGGTCTATATATTTACAAGTCATGTTCTTGTTAGACTTAATTAGTTCAATTATTGCATTAGTTATATCGATTTATTGTTATTAGTTTATAATAATCATTCCTTATTTTATGCGCTTCTTGTTAGACCCATATTAAATGTTTGATTATTCTTTATATGTTGAATTAGTTTTTATTGTACAATACATAATCAATATTCCTTCTATGATACAGGAAAACAAGAAGCAATTATTTTGCCTAATTAGTGATTGTATCTATGAGTTCAACGCTTTTGGATCATGAAGGTGGTTACTACATGGGATTGTTTTGTTATCCTTTCTTATTTTTTTGGTGTTTTGTTTAGAGAATTTGATTGTATGTTTTTGGATTTGGATTGAAGTACTCATAGATGGGCATCTACAAATTTGGCTATGCAAACGCCCTCTTAATATTCTATATGTTATGATATTTGGAAACAATAGGATTTGGTAATTTAAAATGTTATTTGGTATTTGATGGATCATAATATATATGCAATGAGTAACTTAAAGCGTTATTTGTGTTGAATTGAATATAGTTATTTTATATTTACACCAAAAAAAATGATTGTGTAAGAAAAAATATTGTACTGTACTTATTAAAAATATTGTACCAAATATGTACCATTTATTAGCACTTTATTTGAAAGTGCTATCAAAAAACAAACAAAAAACATGCAAAATACTGACTTTGATAGCACTTTAATTAAAACGCTATTATAAATTGGTACTTTAATAGCGCTTTTAAAGTGCTATTAAATAAGAAATATTTACAATAGTGGCGCGGTTAATAGCACTTTTAAGCGCTATCAAAAACAAAAAAAAGCGCTATTAAATAGCTTATTTGGCGTAGTGTATCCTACTATTAGTGAGTAGGTAGCCCTATCATTAGATGTATAAGGGACATTCGAAGGGACGTTACGGTCACGAAGGCAATTTGGCAAGAAATTTTAGTAACTATACTAAAGGTTTAAGATCACTTTTAACCGAGGCAACATCCAGAGGGTCATCGAGGGACTTGTGATCTTTCAAACTAGAGGACACCCACTAAAACTTCTCACGTTTTGAGAACCGTGACCGTTTTACAAAGGAAACAGAAGTGGGGTACCCTAGAGGTGCGCGTGTGCAATTATGTCCAATTAAATTATTTATCTTGCGTATTTAGGTTTGCTAACATTTTTGTTTTCAGTCTTGCCATGCAATCCTAATTACTAGCAGTTAATATATACAGAAGAATGTAAAGTGTGAAAATAAACCCTACGCTATTACATAGCTTTGGGGAGTAGAAATTTAAAATGTACAAAACTTGGGAGTGCATAAATTAAAAGCAGAAAGTAAAGCCTAATTACTATTACATCCCAATATACAGTTATATCAATAATGTAAAAACGCGGAAAAAAAAATAAATAACACGCGAAGGTTGAAAGTTCGTCTAAAAACCTAATAAGCAAATCTTTTTTGTTTTTCTTTTGATTTAAGAAAATAATTAAATTAAAATTATCCTAAAACCTATTTAGAAAATAAAATTAATTTAAGAAAATAGTCTAGGATTTTCTTTATTGCTTTTTTTGTTATGAAAAGAAAATAAATTAAACATAAAATTAAACCTAAGTTCTAGTTCATTTTAAATTTATAAAAAGGTTAAAATTAATTAATTTATTTATTTCAGAAGTTAATTATTTAATAAAAAAAACTAATCCTATATATTTTTGTGATTTTATTATTATTTTACTAATTAAATAGATAAAAAAAAACAAAACAAAAATTAAAACAAGACAAAAAATAGTAAAATGGGCCTAGGTTTTGATAAGCAGTTAGGGGGGTACTATTTTTGAATTCGCTGGCCCAAAGGAAGAAAACCCATATCTGCTTGGATCCAGTAAGGAGAGGTCTAAAAAACACATGGTAGTCTACGCATTTGGGTGTATTGGATCTTGATGCATTGAGATCTCATGGTGAAGATCAAGGGATGTATGGTGCACGCGTGAGATGTGTCAGCACCAGATCTGCAAAATAATTGTGAGAAAAAACAAAATGCATGACCTGGGTTTCGAACCCAGGTCCTTCCTTTCATACGCGTCCCCTCCTACCAACTAAACCAGCTAATCAATCGTTAATTTATACAAACCAACAAATATATATAAAAGAATCTGTTAGAAATATGAAAAATAGAAGAAAAAAACGTGCGTTGTTTATTCAAACAAGCCAATGGGAGAGAGGCACGATGGCTTGCCGGAGTCAACATTTTAGAGGTGCCAGAGTCAAACTCTGGTCACCTTCTTCGGCCATCCAAAACCCTAAAACCTGCACAAAGAAAAATCAAGGCTCGAGATTAAAGTTACCCTTTATTTCGCATGCTACGAGTTTAATGGTGGTGGTCGTTTGGCCTGAAAAGTCCTGCAATGTCCTATTCGAAGCTTAACCATTCTAGATCCTTAGAAATGGTAACCTGCAATCCACGGCCTTATCTTTACATGTAAAACATTAGAAATCTTCACAATGACTAAACAAACATGATTATGTGTTTCAAATCTGCTTAAAATGTATATACTAAGAGATCAAAGATGCGAAATTTTACCCAATGGAGATGATTCAGATGGGGAACTTCTGGGCGTGGAACGGCGTGAATGAGGGCTGGGAATGAATCCTGAGACCTTCAGGAAGAGAATGTCATGCTTTGTTTGGAAGGATGATGGCTGGAAATTCAGTTCTGAATTTCACAATTTTGAATTTTTTTTGCAATTTTGCGTGACTCTCTTGAAAATCTGTAGGCGTATGTAAGGCTTGCAAACATGCTGCTTATATAGAGTAGAAGGATGGGACAAGATGTTATGACAAGAATCAACCATTAAGGTAGTGTTTTAAGGCCATAAACAAATATTTGAAAAAATTGAAAAAAGTGTGCATTCTTGTCCCTTTTTGAATTTTCTATGAACTTGGACATGCTAGCCAGGATGGACAAAAAATATAGGGCCCTTCCATGCATCAAATCAAGCCCAAGCACTAATGGCCCATATTATTTGCATTAATTTTGATTTATTTGATTTTAAATTAAATAAAATTAATATGAAATGCAAATAAGTTCAAGACTATGCGAAAATGGTCTTAGGGGTCCTAATACATGTCATGAACATGTTTAGGCCCTAAAAATTAGGCTTATTAGCTTGAATAATGATTTTTCCCAAAGTTGACTCCATGCATTTTCTTGAAAATTACCCAACTTGTGCAAGCCATAACTTGCTCAATTTTTATCTTATGATGATGATCTTTGACTTTTTAGAAAGCCCAAGATGTCTAATTCAATCTCTCTTTTGATAAATTTAGCATTTTAAGATTTTATCTTGATGTAAAAGGTCATGACAAAAAGTGACTTTTGTTGACTTTCTGAAAATTACATGTAATGTATGAGCTTGTATCTTTCAAATGGTGAATTTCATGGACTTGAGGGATGAAGAGAAGTTCTAGGGAATTGGATTCTCTTAAAAATGAGCTTTAGTTAGGGAGAAATGGATGAAGTATGTGATAGTTATGTCTGGTCAAAGTTTGGTTGACTTTTCCTATAGAAACCTTAATTTGGCAATTCTTGACTTTTGATAAATTGAGAGCATTTATTGAGGAATCATGATCAAACCTTGATCAAATGATGGATATCACTTCAAAATGTTGATGTTGACCAAAAATCTTTAAGTTTGATTGTACATGGGCCATATTTGACTTTTGACCTAGCACAATTTGAAGGGGTGAAAAACACAAGAAGGGGGGGTTGAATTGTAAAACTGGAATCTTAAAGCAATTGACAAGATATTTTTATCCTGGTTCGTTTGATCTCAAACTACTCCAGTCCACCCGTCAAGGTGATTTCGCCTCTCTCCAACGAGGTCTTAATTCACTATATTCAACTGAATACAAATCTGCTTTAACAACTGCTAAAGCCTTCTTGATTCAAACCACAATCCGGTTTGTCAAGGCAACACTTTCTTACAAAGGTATAAAACAAATGTGTGTGAATGTTTTCTACAAAACTTTATCACAACTGTGATGTATACACAAATTAAGCTTAGAAACTTAGATTGCTAAACACTAATGGAGTATCAGAGTTTGTGGTTTAGCAAAACTGGAAGATGAAGATTATTGTTCAGCTTTGTGCGTGTAGAGAATTGAAGAGCATTAGCCATTATAATCTTCGAAGCCTTGTTTATATAGCACTTGAGAAGATGAACGTTGAATGCAAATATTCTTGATTCAATGCTATTAACAAGCTTTCCTTTTTGAGCAGATCTTGTCTAGAATGATGCCGTTGGAATTAATTAGCGTTCAATGCACAGTACCGTTGCTTCTTCAATGCACGTTCTGGCTTGGCTCATTCTGATTCTGCTTCGCTGCTGATGAACTATTGTTTTTGTATCAGAGTGTTTACGCGCAGTTCTGTTCATCAAGCTTCAGCATGTACGTGAGTTGATCATCTGATCTTCACGTTCTGATTCAGCAACTTCTGATGCTGGTGTATCAAATCAAGTTTTGATGCTGAAGAAGTGATCTTGCTTATTTTAATCAGCGTATCTGCAAGTCAGAGCATAGTAATTTTAGGCAGCATATAGTTCAAACATGAAACATATAAATACTATATCTTTTCACTTTGTTATCATCAAAACTTAAATATAGGGTACTAGATTCAAACATTGTTCTAACAATCTCCCCCTTTTTGATGATGACAAAAACTAGATATTTTAAATGAAAAAATAACGTGAAAAGGTATCTGGGAAATGTTTCAGAGTTAAGAAGTAAAGAGAAATCAGAGTTAAGAGATACTCCCCCTGAGTTTGTTACTTCCCTTTGATATGCGTGTTCTTCAGGATCAGACCTTTTTCTATCTTTGAAC